ATTGCTGTGAAGAGACATCATGACCATGGCAACTCGTATATAGGAAAACATTTAATTGGGGTGACTTACAGTTTCAGAGGTTTAGTCTATTATTATCATGGTGGGATATGGCAGCATGTGGGCAGGCATGGTGCTGGAGAAGAAGCTGAGAGTCCTACATGTTGATCAGCAGGCAACAGGAAGTGAACTGGATCACTGCTTAATTAATAAAAATGAAATCATCTAGAATGGTTAACAGACTGTACCATACAGTTCTATGGAATCAGGAAATGTCTCCTTCAGTGAGAGCTACTTTCTGTTAAGTCCTTTTACTTGACAATCCCAAACTAACTCCAGTCTTTAATGTTATCTGTGAATTACAAAGACTGAGTGATTCCAAAAGTCAGTATTCCCTGCTTATAAGTATATTGATACCAAAGATCCTATGTAATGAACTGTAGAATCCCTAAAGACAGTTACAGACTATAAAAAATGATATCCAGTTTTGTGGCAGGTGAAAATTCGGTGTGTCTTTGTCTATATGCACAGTTATACATACACTTATACACTGTGTCTTTTATACACCACTTTGTCATAATAGCTCCTTACATTTTTTTAAGGTCAGTGGAGTTTACTTACAGTAATAAAGTCAGAGATAGGTTTGCACTGTGTGCTGTACTTGGTTCAGATGAGATTGAGCACATTCAGGGTAGTATGGCTCTCCATTGCTCTAGCAATTTCAAACACATCATAAATATCATAAAAGCTTCATATTCTTTATTTTAAGGTAAATAATGAAAATCAAAGTTAGAAAACAAAAATGAACAGCAGAGATTGGAGATTGTATCCTGATGGTCAAATAAACAGAGTGGTAAGATGTGCATAAAGAATTAGACTTCATGTATGGTTATGGAGAGTAATGCTAAGGCTACTTGGATAGCGTTTTGGAGGACTGTAATAAAAAACTTTCTAGCAGTCTTACACACCCATGGGAACTGCCTTCTCAGAGTCCCATGCTTCGCCACTTCCAGTCCAGACAAGGTCCAGATGAGCTCTATCAAGAGTGTTGTGAATTGAAGTCCAAGCAACATTGTTTCAAAAAAAAAATTCAGATCCTCGATCCTATGAGCTTATGAAAGAAGAAAAATGGATCAAAAGTATTTTTCATGGTAACGTCCACTAATAAATTTAATACATGCTTGTACTTGTATTGCTGACTTAGGAATTTCAAAGAAGAAAACGGCATGTGTTGTTTTGATCTAATTAGAGTAAAATCATGATGATGCTTTTCACTCATGCAGCACTTTTCATCCAAGGATTTCAAAGTGCTTTACAAATATGCACTAATTAAGCCTCACAAACAGCCTGAGGTAGGTGCCTTTCTCTCCTTTCTCCAGGAATGTCGACTGTGGCACAGAATCCTGAGTGTGCCAAGGATTACTGCTGGCTGCCATTTCTTTGGAATGTGCTGCATGTAAAGTGTCACGTGTCATTTTCAGATTTTGTTTTCCCTTTGAATCATCACAAGTTTAGAATCTTAGTGAATGCTGCTTGAGGACTTGTTTCAAGTCCTATAGATATTGACGGACATCAAGCTTTCTCTGTGTCAATTAACTCTGTAGATTTATAGAAACAAATTCTAAGTGGTTAATATTATGCTATTGTTGAATTATAATTTTCACTTTAAAAGATTTGTTTCCATTTTCGTCTCCAGGTACCCCAAAGTCATTTTTTGGGTATATAACTTTATAGAAGTTTTATTTGTTGACATTATTATCCCTTATTGTCTTATTATCAGAGAGAGCTTTTTTCTTTGGACTAGAATTATATATTATCAAGAAAATATACTGAGTTTGGGTAATTCAATGATTGAAAATGTTTTATCTTAACACTAAAGGAAAAAATTGTGTATCACTAAATAGCCATGTGAAGAAGAAGTAGCATAGTGGGCTTCACATGCTAATATCGGAGGATTCACAAGTTTTCCATAGGTTCAGGGTAGCAGAGAGAGAATTTGTACACACAGAGACACACTAAGCAGGATACAGTTCCATTCCCATATGTACAGCCCATGTTACAAACGACTGTCTAAAGCAGTGGCCAGGCACAGTGAGAGCAGATGCCACATGTCACAGCTTAGTTTCTATGGGCTCCTAGGTCCCTGTTAATGCCATGTCAAGGCTTCCTGAGTCAGAAGGGTACAAGTTTTACTATGTCACTGCCCCTCTGTATTTATGATTTCTGTCCCTTCCAGAACTTACCCCAAATATTTACCTCCAAATATCTCTATTTCCATTTGAATACTTAGACTCTCCTAGTTTTGAGACAAAGTCCACATTAATAATGCTACATTCTTATATCAAGAAAGAAAGTAGAATTAGTGTCCATGTGTTCCAAAAGAGTATGTTTCTAAGTTTTAGCATCATGGAAAGCTCTGTTCCTCCCTGCTTTAGAACAACCCAAATAAGAGATTAAAGAAGAAAACCGTAGCTCCACAACTAATTGAATTTAAAAGATGGCCATAACTACACAAGGATCTACAGTATCACAATACTTTCCAAGCTGGTTAGAATATTTTAAATGTCCTTTAAATACTTAGTCTATGGTATATGAAGGATAAGTCACAAAGAGCCAGTTTTAAGACTTAGTTCCAAGTTTTCTTCCTGGGTTGGGGGAAAGGGGGGTCTTGAAAAGCCCAAATGCTGCCCTATACATTGTACCATATACTCATGGTACATGAACTGTTGTCTGCAGGCACGGAACCCGCTATAGTGGCCTAAACACTGGGCTATTGAAAAGCTCCACACTTAAGGGCAAGTCTTACCTTCACTTACCTGGGGATATAGAGTCTTATTGACAGTGTAATTGGTGTATTTAGAAAAGAAAGGGGAAAATGGGAATTTGTCATTTATAGTGAAAAGTGTCACATATGGGCATGTCTGAATATATTCTTTATTCATTTGACAAACCGCATAGGAAAGCAGCGATGAGGAGTTTGATCCGTCATAGAAATACAGAAAAGCAGTCATTCAACTTGAATGTACAAGTCTCGGTCTCTGAGAATCTGCTAAGTCCCCTCTCTCAGTGGGGACCACTGGCTCCTGGTGTTGGCCCAGGCCAGTGACAGCAAAGGAACTGTGTCAGCTTCTGCTGCCCACATGGTAGTGAGAAACTCCCTGCCAATCGCCATCCTTTATGTAGAATTTCTAGAAGCCCTCTGGAAAGCGTCTATTTCAGGGGTGCTTTCTGAGTGTTCAGTGGTCCACTGCAAGCCTCTGATTGCCAGACCTCAGAAAAGATTGGAGACTGAGAAATGACCACAGAATTAATGTGGCCTTTTAAGAGGTTCTGAGGAGTGTCCACAAGTAGTGACAAGTCGAAAGATGGGCAAGGAATGAGATGTAATCTCCCCTTACATGTTGGAGAGTTGTCTAAATGCATGATTATGCTATCTTAGTGTTTAGGGTCAGTGTCAGCCAACCGTTCCCCTAACTGTGAATAGGGGGACCTTGTGAATAAATAGAAGTTTGTTGAATCCACTGATTTCTGAAACATCTTTTTTAATAATTAAATGTATTCTTTGACAGTTTTCATACATGTATATAATACGTTCTGATTACTCTCAACCCCTACCCTCTCTAAAGCTAACTCTAGAATAATATTTTCCCTTCACCTCAAAGTTTAATTTCCCCCATGGAGCAAAATAAAATACAGACTTAAAATTTGCAACTAGCATTGATAAATTATAAATCCATCTTTTTCATGAAGTTTTATTTGTCCAGGATCACTCAGTATAAATCTTAACCTGAAAGGTGTATAAATTCTACTTCCCCAAGAGATAGATTCACTTGTAGCACATGTCTTATCTGTAACTCTTAAGCATCTTACATCATAGTGCTTACTCTTTAGATATGGTCTGATACATGTGCAAACACTTGAACATACATGCTGTTAGCATTTTAATACTTACTAGTGCAGTTCGATATAATCTTTCTTACCTTGTGAGAGGAAGTTAATATAAATGTGAATATGTATTCTAATCAGATTGGCATTTGTTGGTGAAAATTATTCTGCTTAGTAGAATCTCAAATAATCTTGTCATTTAAGTGTGCTTTTTGTTTTCAAAGCTTACATTTCCACATTATAAATGATTTCCTTCAGCTTTACATGGAGCTCACCAGCGTTCACTGCATGAGCTGTGCATGAGCATGTTGAAGCTGCCAAATTTGCCTCGCACATTCACATTTTGTCCTTCTCTGCAGCGCTGATTAACTCTTTGCTAAAATGCTTTGTAGAACAGATTTTCTTTTAATAGTTTATTCATAGGCAAAAGAATATTGTAAATTAAGTGTAAACTGTGTCTATGTTTCAGGCTGTATTTGCAACTCCTTGGCTTTTCTTGCATAGAATAAACCAGCACTTAACAATAGCCTTGCTTTTACTAAACAGAAAAGACACACACTTTAGCATTCAGGGTTTCCAGGTCAGCTCTGGCTGATTTGCAGGCTATGGGGAGCGCTCATTCTTGTCCTGCAGGCTCCAATGACTTAGATCCCTTGGGAGTTCACTGCTAATGCTCTGACTGCATATCCTGTTCACAGGGGTTAGGTCTCCATCTCCACAAGACAAACAGACCTTGTAACAGTCAGAAGCTCTTTTCCACTGTTCTCATTTCCCAGCGGAGTAGTGCTGGTCACTGCCAGAATGTGAATTTTTCATATTGTTTCATAAGAGCCATATATAGAGATAATTTGTGAATTCAAACTATTTCATCGAGTCTTCTACTTTATTTGGAATAGACTCTCCTGACAGGTTTCTAATATTTGAATTTAGATCATCAGAGGTAGATATTTCAGTATTTACATTTCTGTGAGAATAGAAAGATTAATAATATTTCTGAAAATCACTGTGGCTGTTGGGGAATCCTGGAAGTGTGACATTCAGAGGCCCTGACGATGACCTGCACTTTGGGTGTGTGGTTAAAAAACAGAATACCTTATTGCCTGTCTTTCTCTTTCCAGCCTAGGAATGGATGGCTTTGGCCAACCAGTGGGAATTCTTGGACGTCCTGCCACCGCCTATGGATTCCGCCCTGATGAACCTTACTACTACAGCTTTGGGTCTCGATAAAGTCACCCCTTTCCATGTGTACCCTCAGCTTAGGAGAGATCTGTGTGGTGTGGGTTAACCTTGAATCTTGACTTAATAATGCATGTTGGTACTCCTGTGGGACTGTGTTTCTTATTTCTCCATGTTGTTAGCTGCAGGTTAACTCTGACCCTCACGTCTTCTGTTAAAAACAATTGACGCTGCAGTGTTCACTCATCCAGACACATTTTGAGGAGAATAACATTTCCCATGAGACTGTTGCGAAACTACTAGCCTGGAAAAAGAGATACTACATTATGTACATTAAGTGACTAATTTCTATTAAAAAGTGGCATTCGTGCAAAGGAATGGGCCAGAGTCATGTGTTCATATGTGCTGTGTTTCATAGGAACCACTCATATTCATGGAATACAGCACTTTTTTTTTGCTTTCTCTTTCTACTTATAAACTTAGTGTTTTGTATGAGCTGTGCTACCTTTACATTTTATTTTAAATGAACCTCATTCTGCCTTTTGTTTCATGCTGTGTCTGGAAGCTTCTTTCCCAAGGTTATTAACAATATGAGTTTTTAACTAATGGTGAACATATGTTGGAAGTGGTGTTGGACCTTAAGTGATTTGTTATACTTCTAAGTAATCGGGATTCATGACACTTTAACTATAGCAGAATACTAGGGCAACCTCCGTAAACGTAGCAGGAGCACCACTGGGCTTCTAAGCTTTGTTTTTTCCTGAAATGTACAATATAAGGTGTGAACAAGCTAATTTATTTTGCCTTACCTAAGAAAATTAAGGAAAGTATTCTTTCTCTCTTTGTTAACTTTAGAAGTGGGTAATGGGAAGTAGAGAGGGTCATGGTGATTAATAATGAGTTTTGAAAATAATTCATTGATTTTAAAATGTTGAAAATTTTACTTGAAAAACCAAGCAAGTGAGCTAATTGTAAGCATAGGTTGTTTCTTGATTACCTCCTACCAAGGAAACACAAGGCTTCCAAACAACACAAATCAAAGGTAAGCTTTCTGCCTTTAAATTTAAGACCCACTGATCTAACTATACTTTTACCTTAATTTACACAGTTAGCACAAAGTATTAGAGCTGGGAAGGTCCTTGGGAACAATTCAGTCCATGTGCTTGGGAAACCAAACACTTAAAAATGTAAAGATAACCAACAGGTGTATTCTCACCTGATACCTGTAAGGTGGTATATGATCGAGATGTTGTTTTAGTATATGATCGGGATGTTGTTTTAGTATATGATCTGGGATGTTGTTTTAGTATATGATTGGGATGTTTTAGTATATGATCTGGGATGTTGTTTTAGTATATGATCTGGGATGTTGTTTTAGTATATGATCTGGGATGTTGTTTTAGTATGTGATTGGGATGTTGTTTTAGTATATGATCTGGAATGTTGTTTATGTTTGTGAACTCACAACCTAAGTGATCTTTCTGGAAGCATGCAGTTGTCTTTGTTTCCCTTTTACCCACAAAATAAATATTAATGTCAGAAAATTTTGAATCAGTACTGTCCAACTCTCATTTTTTACAATTAAAACCAAACAATCTGAGGTGAGAACCAATGAGATGGCTGGATGAGTAAAGTCACTTGCCACCAAGCAAGAAGACCTGAGTTCAAGTCCTAGGACCCACGTGATTGGAGGAGTGAGCCAATTCCTGCACGTTTGTCCGCTGACCTTCACCTACACGCCATGGTATATATGCACCCCTTACACAAAGTCAGACATAAAATAAAGAAGTGTAAAATACATAGTCGTTTCAAATTGAGATGAGCTATTAAATGACTTACCTGTGTTTCTGTGTTTAGTCAGTGATAACACCTATCTCTTTGTTTTCAACATAGCAGCCCTGTACAAATGCGTTCCTGTTGTTTATCACATACACAGTGTAAGTACACAAAACTAAAGTGACATTTACACACTTAGCAGAACATTCCAAATGTATAACTTTTCGAATGCTATGCACAAATTTCTCACATATTTTTATTGTTTTAGGATTTCACAGATTTAGAAATTATAATCTTTCCACTCAGGCATTGGCTAGTTTAGCATTCCCTTGTTTATCAAAGTTTGCCAATGAGATCAGTAACAAAGAATATCTAAATTATTGTGTCTATCAGAGAACAAAAAGGGTCAGCACTTGGCCCTTGTAGAAATACCATTCATACTGTAAGTCATATCCTGGCCTCACTAGGTTGTTGTTTGTTTGTTTGTTTGTTTGTTTGTTTGTTTGTTTTTAATTAATATCATACTTAATTTAATGACATATACTAGAAATTTTCTTACGGGATAAAAATTAAAATTTCCACAAGAATCTTAGAAAGATGAACTGGGGATATAGCTGAGTGGTTTAAGATCTGCTTAGCATGTATGTGACCTGACTTGTGTCCTCAAATAATTGAATTAAATTTTAAAATGTCTTGGAAAGGAAAACATAAAATGCTTCAAAGAACAAACTGTCTTCAGGCTTTAGCTGTTAAGTGACTAAAGCGAGTGGAGTGTGACCTGTAGACTGTTACTAGAGTTTTCCTGCCTGGCCCACAGTCAGGACAAATCTCTCTCACCCGCCAGTCCCAAGCCGCTCAAACCCGATCAAGTAAACACAGAGACTTATATTGGTTACAAACTGTATGGCCGTGGCAGGCTTCTTGCTAACTGTTCTTACAGCTTAAATTAATCCATTTCTATTAATCTATACCTTGCCACATGGCTCGTGGCTTACCGGCATCTTTACATGCTGTTTCTCATCATGGCGGCTGGCAGTGTCTCTCTCCCCCAGCTCTATTCTCCTCCTTGTCCGGCCTATACTTCCTGCCTGGCCACGGGCCAATCAGTGATTTATTTATTGACCAATCAGCAACACATTTGACATACAGACCATCCCACAGCAGTAGACTTACTTGTTTTATTTGAGGGATGGACAGATTCAGAACCCAAAAACACTTCACTTGAATAATTTTTTTAGTGTTTTGTGAAGGAGATAGTTTTTCTTCATCTTATCTATTTCTCCTAATTTTTTCTTCTGCCGTACTAAGAATTTAACCTGGGTTCCTTGCACATAGTAGGCAAGCTCATTACTACTGACTTGTATCCCAAGTGGTAGGCAGGTGGATATTCTTAAGAATGATTGAGGGAGGCTGGGCAGTGGGGCACATGCACTCGGCAGAGGCAGGCAGATCTCTGAGTTCAAGGCCAGCCAGGTCTACAAAGTGAGTTCCAGGACAGCCAAGGCTACACAGAGAAACCCTGTCTTGAAAAACAACAACAACAAAAAAAAAAAAAAAAAAAAAAAAAAAAAAAGGATTGTGGGAGGTAGACCCGATTTACTTTCCATAACAAAAGTGTTGTTTTTTACATAATGAAAAGCTAGCTTCAGGAAGAAGAACCCACAAAGTGATTTGATGGGCTTTGAAAGCTGGTTGGCAGGTATAAATATTAACTACAAAACAAAATTAAAATTAAAATTATTATTCCTGAAAATATATGCATAGGAAATTAATGATGACTGACATAGTTTTGCCAGCTCAAGAAGTAATTGAAGGGATAATAATTTTGTGACTTTTTAGAGGCATCCATCCAACCTGGCCTTTTAATAAAAATGGAGATGCATCCCTTGAGAAGTCAGGTGCAACACTAAATATTCTTTCACCTTCCATATAAATCTCTTTGAATTTAGAGTTCAGAAGTGCACTGTCCGTAGAGCTGTCTGCTCTGGAGCACCTGGTAGGAACGAGCAAACACAAGCCCCTTCTACGGAAGGAACTTTGAACCCACGTTTCAGCATTCTCTCAGAACAGGCTACCTAAGCACAGGCTTCCGTGGAAAAATTACATTCACAAGTGGGAGCATTTGAAAGCCTCCACCATATACAGACTACAAAACAAACCTATCTCAAATAGTATAAGAAACAAATACAGAATCAAAACATGTGCAAGAAATATGACAAAGGTCAGGCATGTAAAACTAAATGTTTAGATTCAAAATGTGTTGACGAGAACCAGATTTGACAGATGAACAAATTACGCTAGGCTTTCTGAGTTATTTGTCTCAATGTTTAGACAAGTATATATTGGACATGAAGTGTATTTCTCTCACACCTCCTCCTCATCTTTTTTACCTCCCCCTCTTCCTCCTGTCAATCCCCTTTGTTGCCCAGACCATTTCACTTTTCCTTTCCTGACATATTACATACATTGTTTTATGTATTCATGCAAAAATCTAAGAACCACAAATGAGATAAAAATGTTTTTCTGAGACCAGCTTAATTCACTTAATATGATTATCTTCAGTTGTACCCATTTTCCTGCAAATAACAGAACCTTTTTCTTATTTAGGACTAAAAAATTCTATTTTGCGTCTGCACCACACTATTTTACCCTTCCTCTAAAGCTGGACACCTGGGTTGATTGCACAGCTCAGCTGTTGTGAGTAGGGAGGCGGTAAGTGTGTATGTATATAGGAGTGCCTCTGATGGATTGACTTAGGCCCTCAAGTAAGCACCCAGGAGTGCCATAGCTGGGACAAGTGCTAGATCTATGTAGTTTATTAAGGAGCCTCCTTAGTGACTGCACTGGTTTTACATTCCTGCAGCAGTGTATAAGGGTTCCCTTTTGTCCATATATTAATTACATGTAATAACAGATTCCATTATGATATTTTCTAGCATGTAGAGCAGTGGTTCTCAACCTTCCTAATGCTGCAATGCTTTTATACAGTTCCTCATGTTGTGCTGACACACACACACACACACACACACACACACACACACACACACACCCCACCATAAAATTATTTCATTGCTACTACATAACTGTAATTTTGCTATTGTTATGAATTGTAATATAAATATATGATATGAGGGTATCTGATATGTGACCCCCAAAAGGTTTGTGACCCACATATTGAGAACTTCTGATGTAGATACTATATTTTGATCAGATTCACTTTGCATTACCCTCTCTTGTCTCCTCCTCACTCCTACTGACTTCCTTCTTCCTCCCAACTGCCCTTTCTACTCTTGCGTTCTTGTTGTGTGTGTGTGTGTGTGTGTGTGTGTGTGTGTGTGTGTCTCACATTTGACTAGGTTTGCTTATAGGAACATGGTAAGGGGTTATTTACATGACAACTTATCAGTGTCTAAAACACTAAAGAAAACGTCTCTTCCTCCACCACCAATCATTAACTGCCTGTAGATCCTCAGGGGAAGAGAGGCTCCTGAGACACTCTCTTTCCATGACTAATTGTTTAGTCTCAGTGTGGATGTGGGTCTTGTACAGATATTCACAGCTACTGTAAGTTCATGAGTACAACAGGCATGTCATACCTGGAAGGCAGTGTTCCACAACACTCCACCCCTTCCTTTCATCTTTACATCCTCTCTTCCACATCAGTATAGTTTTAGTTTCATTTATCTGATGATGGGTGCAGTTCTACATTTTCTAATATTTACTAGCCATTTGTGTTTCATCTTTTGAGAACTGCTTATTTTGACACTATAGTTTTAACAACCATAATACATCAGAGAGATTAAAAATTAAAATTATAAGCACTTAGACTATGTATTGTTTTCACTGATGGGGTGACCTTGCCTTGGACGTGGATGCTTCCTGTTGGCATAGGCACAAAGTATTGAGAGATCCTGGCCCTTGGTGGTTGTCCATGCTCTGGCCAGTGCAGAAGAGGAAGCCTTGCTGCTCCAGCTCAAGCTAGCCACATTGATGTGATGCAAAATAATGGACTTGAGACTCCCTCTGCACTCCTCTGCCCAGCTGAAAAGGAGGTTGGAACAAGACTCATTGGACAAAGCAAAGAACTATACCAGTGGATCTCAACCTGTGAGTCATGACCCCTTTGGGGGTCAAACAACCCTTTCATAGGGTTCGCATATCAGATCCCTTACATATCAGATAGTTACATTATGATTCATAACAGTAACAAAAATACACTTATAAGATAGTAACAAAACTAGATTTATGGTTGGGGGTCACTACAACATGAAGGAATGTATCAGAGGGTCACAGCATTAGGAAGGCTGAGAACCACTGGCCTAGACGTTGATGCTCATTGCTCACTCAGTAGTGATTCTGCACCTAAGATGCTTCTAGCCAGGTACTCCCAGGGGAAAGGACTTCACAAAGCCTTGCACGGTGCTTCACAGCCTGTCCCCACCACAGAGAACCAAACTCTTCCAGGCCATGATAATACAGCCACTGCAAGCAAAAGAGCTTTGCTAAAGACAGGTTGAGAGGCGAGCTGTGTGCCTTTCTATAGTCGGCATGATAAATCTGTTAAAGTCCCTTAGTTTAGCCCAGGTTTTGGTTAGCCACTTTAATTTTAAAGAAGTTGGAAATGCGAATAATCTCACTGTAGTGTGGTGGAATGGATATGAATGAGAATTAAACCTGGCTTTCAAAGCTGGGAGAGTGGGGAAAGGAGGGTAGCGTAGAGAATTTTCCAGGCTAACAAAAGAGGAGCATATCTACAAGGGAAAGAAATGTTGGAT